TACATGTAATTTTTGTCACCTTGTGTATATAAAACATTAAAATCTGGATCATTGGAGAATGCAGTTCCAGAGTTTTCATTGGTCTAGTCATCGTGGTTTACGAGCAACCCGTGTTCCAGATCAGCCATAGCCTACGTGTAGCCGTAACCTCCCTCCCTCCCTCCCACCCGTTTTTTCTCGGGGGCTGGCTACCGCTACACGTAAGCTATATCAATCATTGTAGTAAACGAGTAGCGATTTTTGAGTGACGCTTTCTACAGCGAGGGTTTGCATGCAATAATAATAAACATTCTAGCAGGCCTTTCCCTAAAAAGCTTCATGAATTGCGATTCGATCCCCTTCCCTTCCCACGACTCACTCACTATGAAGGACTTTCACCGTGACGCACACTCCGAGGCAACCACAATTTTTTTGTTATTCAACTGACATATCTCGCTAGACTTCTGACAAGGCCTCCGACAACCGACACGTAAAGGCAAGCAGCTTATCCATGCCGGCCTTCCAGAAAGCATGTTCCCCTGATCCCTTGAAAATTTCGCTTTTTCTCCCTTATTCTCCATTAACAAATCACTTCTTATCACGTTATAATTGACTAAAGTGTAGCCCGAGTGAGATCAACTATCACGCATAGAAATCGAGAGCGAATAATCTAATTGTTTTAGTATAAATATTCAAGTCGTTCAAAACTTAAACAACAATCCCCTTAACAGACACGTCGAAGACGCAAAGAGGTTGATCCCAGTTTGTTAACTAGCGCATACTGCAAGGCTACTCGATATAAACAACAGACTAGATAGTGACTAGCGAATAGCCAATATGAGAACGGCATTCGTGATTTTCATACTAAAAAGCTATAGCCAGGGGATGGCTTCGTTCCATTTCTTGTCCTGAAAGAAATCCAGTTTGGCTACACCATTTACTCGGTGTCCTCATTAGTATTGAAGAACACGCATCTATTTTCTACCCAAATTTCACTTTAAAAAATGGTAAGAAGTAGTTTCCCGGTAATTGATCTAAGTTTGATTTTAAGCTAATTCCTTAGTATTGCATTGCGCATCTCTACTGCGCACGATTTTCGCGTCATTTAATAGCGCGCATACATAAGCCCGTGCGCGTACAAAACGTAAGAGATTTCCCTCAAACTGAGCTCGATAGCGAAATAAATGCTCATTTTCTCTTAAACGAGCACGGTGACCCCCGATTTTTTTTTTTTTTTTTCAGGTATTTGCTAAGAACAGTCAAATAAAGAACATATTTAAAGAAGAAAAAAAGTTTGATAGTAGAACATGATTTTTTTTTTTTGAAAAATAGTTCCGTACTGGGTGTATTTTGGCCATGGCGAGGACTTCAAGCTAACCACGGAACTGTCCGAAAACGTGCAATATTCCCACAACCAGGCAATCAAAAACGGCTTAAATGAAGCAATACTGCTTATGTGAATAAAAGAAGCTTTACTTTCAAGATAAAATTTTGTGTCTTTCGAGTAACCCTACTCGCGCACTCGAGAGATCAGCGGAAATCAACCTAGAAACAAAAATTAAATGAGAACGTTTCTTTTATCATTATCTCCTCGAGTGCACCCTTGAGGATACTTTGACAGCTAAGAATGGTGACGTTTCGTCATCAACACGCTAAGTGAGACCAGGATCCTCGATCTGTACCCGAGACGACGGCCCGACCTTACTATATAAGAGTAGCCCCCCGGGTTTTCAACGTTACGCCGTCTAAGACCGTCTTACAGTCGCTTGCACCGTGTCAAGTTAGTTGTTCTTTGAATTTCTGACGCAAGTACTCAATATCTTACCACAGAAATGATTTTCGCACGAACGTTTCCATATAGAGAAGCTGATTATCATAAATAGCTCACTTCCCGAAGGTGTCCGCTTGTACAGGTTCAACCGTACTCGATTGCCGAAAAAGAAGATATTGAAAATCACAAAAGTGATGAGCTGTATAAATTTTCCAATAATTCAAGCCGTGATTTAAAGTTTTAGACGATCATCAGACATGAGAATTGAGGAGAATTCGAGCGACGTGT